GAGACGGCTCTTTTGCAAGGACAGCTCTTATCACAGCTACGGCAGGTGCAAGTGTAGGAGTGGGGAATCAAACCTGGCTCTCCCAGATTAGAGTCCGTGCACTTAACCATGACACCAAACTGGCTCCAGAGCAGACTATGCAGTAGCCAAATCGCTCACTCACATCTTTAATGCCAGGAGCTCACAAAGTAGAATTTCTGCTCACAAGACTCCACGGCTTAGAGGGAGCACGGGTCCTGGGACGTGGCCGGGAGGGCGGGGGAAGAGCTGCCAGGCTGGGCCCGGAAGACCACGGAAGGCGGCCTGGCCTCCCCACTAAACTCAGGGATGCCCCAGGCGGGTGCAGAAGAGGCCGAGGACAGAAGAGCCCGGGGCCAGCAGGGGGCGAGGGCCTCCTGTCCGTCGGGAATGGCCTAGTTCCCCCTCAGTCGCTGGGAGGGTGCCTGGGGGCCCAGGTGCGAGGAGCACCCGAGCAGGGAGAGGATACCCAGCGGCGGACAGGAAGGAGGGGGCCGTTCAGCAGTGGGGGGGTTACCAATAATCAGATGTTTGAGAAACTTGGAGGCATGGTTTTGGGTACTCTGTGAAGGATAATTCAACTAGCCCCGCGTCTATGGGAGAGGATCCTGAAGGCGGACAGACAGGGGTGTCAGAAAGGACCACCAGCTGCTTCTTGGTGGAAGCCCCTTGCCTTGTGAAGCCCCTTACTTTTGGGCACGACGCTTGTACGTCGGACTCGCCTGTTTCTATGTCACGTGGAAAGTAGGATTTTGGCTCATGGGACTCCACAGCTTAGAGGGAACATTGCCCAGCGGCGGACAGGAAGGAGGGGGCCGTTCAGCAGTGGGGGGTTACCAATAATCAGGCGTTTGAGAAACCTGGAGGCATGGTTTTGGGTACTCTGTGTTAATGATTTAAAACGGAAGGATAATTCAACTAGCCCCGTGACTGTGGGAGAGGATTGCGGACAGGAAGGAGGGGGCCGTTCAGCAGTGGGGGGGTTACCAATAATCAGATGTTTGAGAAACTTGGAGGCATGGTTTTGGGTACTCTGTGAAGGATAATTCAACTAGCCCCGCGTCTATGGGAGAGGATCCTGAAGGCGGACAGACAGGGGTGTCAGAAAGGACCACCAGCTGCTTCTTGGTGGAAGCCCCTTGCCTTGTGAAGCCCCTTACTTTTGGGCACGACGCTTGTACGTCGGACTCGCCTGTTTCTATGTCACGTGGAGGACAGGATGACTTTGTGATGTGTGGACTGCCCCCCCCCACGCCACCGCGAGGGAGCCTTCCAGGGGCTGGCCTCTGGTGTGCCAGAGAGGCTGAGAAGGGCAGGGGGCCAAGCCTCCCGAGGCGATGAGGGGAAGGGCTGGGAAAGGCCTCGGGAGGGACCAGGTCAGCCAGACTTCGGGGCTGGGCCCGGTGCAATCCGTGCCTTCACCCGGAATGCTCCACGGCGGCAAACTCTTGGCCTGTTGACGAGGCACCTTTCAGACTATGGGGTTCCCCCCCCCCCATCGGTTCTGGCTCCCGACTCCTTTGGTTTACCCCCAATTTCTGCATGCATTCTGGAGCGTTTAGTTTTCACTTTGGGTTTCCCGGTAGTTTTGAAACCACTTGTACCTCAGTGTTTTCCTGGAAGCTGATTTTTGTGTTGGCCCTTTCCTCACGTGTAATTCTCCTGCTGGTTTTCTTTGTCTCGCCTGCTCCCGCCCACCTCGCAATGTTTTGGACTGCCACAGTTGAACCACTCCCCTTATTCCCGCCTGCCCTGAAGATGAGTGGTTTCGTTTTCTTTTTTAAAAATGGTTTTAAAATATCAATAGGTTGCTAGAGTGCTATAACAAAAGGCTTAGCAGGTTCTCTGAATTCCCAGCTTTCGATAAAGATTTAAGTCTCTAGACCCACGTATACCCTTTCCCTTATATTGCTGCGAGGGGGAGGGCCAGAGACTTCGGTTGGTTTGTTTTAAATGGAAGCTGGGAATTTAGAGAATCTGCTAAACTTGTCGTTGCAATGCTCTAAAGTTATATTGCTACTTTAATGCTGTTTATTAAAAGGGGGGTGCTGAGCAGGGATCATTTCGTAGAAAAAGGGGTGCAGGAGCTCATTTGCACAACTCATTTGCGTATGCCACACCCCCTGACAAAGGGCATGTTTAGAATGCCTTTCTTTCCCTTCCCCAGATGGAGAAGGGGAAGAAAGGCATTTAAATCCCCCCAGGCGGCGGGGGGAGGGCCCCCGCCCCTGGGCTCCTTACTGCCGGAGCGTCATTCCGGCGCGTTCTGGCAGGAAATTACCCCTGGTGCTGAGACTCCACCAATTTCACTTCACCCCCCATGGGGACAGCCCCCCCCCCCCCCGGGAAATCCTCCTTATCGAAGGCATTCGTGGAAGAAAATACACAGATTCCACCACAACTGAGACAATACAGGAGGACAGACAAGCAGAGGAACGGTGCCCAGACAGATTCCAAAGCTTGTGGCTCGACTGCCAAGAAGACGAGAAGCAAGTTGAGCGTGCGGAAAAGCAGGATCCCAAATAAAATCCAGTGAGAATGGAACCCTGCCAAAATTAGTCCGGACAGAAAAATGGAAGCCAGAAAGAGCATTCTGTCATGGGTGTGGATGAGGAGGAGCTGACAGAGCCTGCAGAAACCACAGCTGGCCCCTCTGAAGCAGCAGGGGAGGATAGCTGGCAAGTGCCTGTAACAGCAGTCTTCACACCTGGCCCGGATAAGAAGGAAGAACTGCAAGTTGAAAGCCTTCCTGACTCACCCCCACGTGTGACTCGTTTAAGGGAGCGACTGCAGCAAAACTTAGCAACCAGGCGAAGAGAGGGCAAGCTACAAGGGAGACGCTCAGCCAGCCCAGAGTTCTAACAGGAGCCTGGCCAATCTTGCAGCTGGCTAATTGGTAGCAGCATTTAAGAAGAAGAAGAAGAAGAGATTGGATTTATACACCGCCCTTCACTACCCAAAGGTGTTTCAGAGCGGCTTACAAACTCCTCCCCCTCCCCACAACAGACACCCTGTGAGGGAGGCTGAGAGAGCTCTGACAGAAACTGCTCTTTTTCAAGGACAGCTCTTATCAGAGCTACAGCTTGCCCAAAGCAATCCAGCAGGTGCAAGTGGAGGAGGAGTGGGGAATCAAACCCGGTTCTCCCAGATTAGAGTCCGGGCACTTAACCACGACACCAAACTAACTCCACGCTCTGGGCAGGACTCTTTGTGGAAGCAACGAGTCAGCTTCGTGCTGCTAGCATCTGGCTCAGCTCTTGCACCTAGACCTTTGGTCCCCCCGGCTTTGGACTTGGCTCTGTGTTCCTGGCTCCTGACCCCGGCTTGGCTTTTTGGACTTTGCACCGTCGTCTTGGCTCCTGACCTTGGCCTGTTCTGGACTCCCTTTGACTGGCAGCCCAGCCCGTGACACACTCCACGTGAAGCCTCACTGTGGGGGCCCACAGAGCGTCCTGACCCTGACTCCCTGGCTCAGACCCACCCAGGGTCACATGCAGCCCAAGCCAAGGCCAGCTGCCTGAGCGCCCGCATTCCCTGGGGGCCCTTTGAGCATCAATCGGATGGCTTCTGGCCTGGGATGAACTCTGCTATGTGGCCCAGAGGCCACCCCACACCCTGCTTGGCCCCCCCTCTGGCTCCTTAGCACCTTGGCCCAACGAGCCTCTCTGGAAGCCAGAAGGGACTGAGACTTGGCCGAGGTTTTCGTGGTGCATCGCCTGTTGCACCAGGCGGCAGCACCGGACACAGCAAGAGCCAGCCCTCCGCTGTTCCCCCACCAGAGCTCTGTCCGAAGGCGCCTGGGATTCCGGCCGGCCGGCCCGCTGTGGCGGCCACAAGGCACCTACCTGAGAGCGGGTTGCACGCGTCACTGTCCCTCAGCTCCGTAGGTGCGGGGGAAGGGGGCCCCCCGGCGGGGTGGAAAGGCGACAGCTCCGTGGCCTGGGAGGCGGGGAGGCGGGTCTCCTCCTCGTCGCTGGACGGGGGGCTGGATGCCAGCGAGCTGCTGAGGCAGGGGTCCCATCTGGGCAGGCCACGGGCGGTGCCTTGGCAGTTCTGGCCCACGGGCAGAGCCTTCTGCTGGCCTTTCAGCTCTCCGGCACTCACTTCGTCTGTACAGGGGACAGTCGGGGGTGGGGGGGTGGAATTACTGGCAGGCTGGACCCAGGGCCGGTGACTGCGCCACAGTCTTTGCAGCCTCCCTGCCTCCCTCCCTCCCCCCCCCACCACGTCAGGAC